TTAAGAGAATCAAATAGTCCAAACCTCAAGCCACACCTCCCACTCCAAACCCAATACACAAAAGAAAGCAGCCCCCTTCCACCAAACCCCACTTTTGAAGTGTCCTGTTTGGCTTTCTTACGATTTCATGCCCTTCCCATCTTGCTGAAGATACATTCATATTTCATAAAACAAAGACAGCAGTTTTCTCTTAATTCACATATACATACTGCATATTTCTCCAAAATTGGAAACAAGTCTGTTAAATTCTTTCAACAGCTTGAAAAAAAAGATGTTTCTCAATAAAATCACACTTATATTTGAAATGGCTTTTTTCTTTTAGTTTTTTTCAGTGCAAATGTGAATGACATTCCTTATGTAATATTCCCTATGCCCTTCCTCCAAAGGCAGGGAATGATCTGCTTTCTGAAGATGGTGACTTTGATCATCAGAGTAAGTGACTATTTTCCTACAACCTTTGCACTGCTTTTGCTGCACAAATCAATTAAAATAATTTTAATTTCTTCATTTGCCAAATTTGCTTGGTCCACAAATGCTGTTGTGGTTTAATCCCAGTCAGCAACCAAACACCATTGCTCAATCCCCCACCAGCAGGACAGGGGGGAGAATCAGAAGGGTAAAAGCTGGAAAGCTCATGGGTTGAGATAAAGCCAGTTTAACAGGGCAAGCAAGAGCCACACACACAAACAAAGCAAAAGAAGAATATTAATTCACTGCTTCCCATGGGCAGGTAGTGTTCAGCCATCTCCAGGAGAGCAGGGCCCATCACACATAACAGTTACTTGGGAAGACAAATGCCATCACTCCAAGCATTGCCCCCCTTCTTTTCTCCTTCTTCCTCTCACTTTATATTATATACTGAGCATGATGTCCTATGGTATGGAATATCCCTTCGGTCAGTTTGGGTCACCTGTCCCAGCTGTGTCTCCTCCCAATCTCCTATGCATCCCCAACTTCCTTGACAGTGTGGCAGTACAGAAAGCAGAAAAGGCCTTGACTCTGTGTGAGCTCTGCTCAGCAATAACAGAAACATCTCCATATTATCAACCCTGTGCTCAGTGCAAATCCAAAACACAGCCCCATACTAGCCACTGTGAGGAAGAAAGTTAGCTCTGCCCCTGCCAAAACCAGCACAAATGCTTAGCATCTGAGCTTAGCATTTAGATGCTCAGATCATCCAAATTGTTTAATGAAATTAGGGTGATATTTGTGCCCCACCTGTGATAAACCTAAGGTATGTTTCAGGCTTGTCTGATGTTTGGCTAGTGTAAGCAATAAAAGGCTAAAAATGCCTTTTTTTTTCTCGAAATATGTGTAAGTGATCTAAATGTGATCGTAAGTCTTATAGTTCTGTGATGAAAATAACTTAGTTATAGCATTTTGGTAGGATAATTCCAATGAAGTCAGCCAAAAGATCCTGCGGTAAGAGATGGAAAATTGTTCTCTGCTGTGAAGACACAGTTTGAGAGTGCCAGCAATTGCTCACATCCTTCTAGTAACAAGTAGGTTTGTGATGCAAAGATGAGTAAGTGCAATTACTGAAGAATCCAAACACATGGAG